GAAAAAAAATTAATCAGCTAATCTTCAATAACAGGTTATTAACAACTTTATAATGTGCCAGAAAAAATTAGAATAAATGAAAGGTTAAAGATATGCCACTGATTTAAAATGCTAGATGATTAAAGCATATCAAAAACTAACTTCACATTTATGTAGTTACTTTTTAAGGGAATAATTAGAAATTTAAAACTTATTGAGCTCATAAAAATCTTGAGCATATTTGCAAGATTTCTCTGTCTGTGTTTTTCAAACCACTGCCATACATGAGTGCTTGCCTCCCCCAGTGAGAAAGGCAGGGCAGAGATAATCATCTGCATTTTGTGTTAAAAGAAATGGCTTCACAGAAGAGAGCTGCAATGCTTATTTCCTACTGAGTTTGTCATTTGGGCATGATCAAGTAGGTGATAAATTAGTAATATGCAGAAGCATGTTAAGACACAAAATGTGTCCAATGTATGCTAATATATGCTAAATCAATAATGGTCACTTTTTAAAAAATTATCTCAAAATATCTATGATGTCTGCTCTTCATTGTCAATGTAACTAAACACAAACAGTTGGGCATTCCCATGAGGGATCTTTTTGATAAGATTATTTGAAGTGGGAAAACCCACCCTAAAAGTTGGTGGTACTATCTTGTGGCAGTCTAGATAAAAGGACATCTAAGGAGGAAAGAAACTTGTTATTGGCACGTTTGCCTTCACTCTTGCTGGCCAGTTCATTAGTCCTTTATCTTCTTCATTATTAAAATGGTATGACAGCCAGCTTCTTCTACATACTAATGAAGACTGGAGACCAACAGCATTCCAGACATCCTCCCAGTTTTCAGTACCAAATTCCAAACTGCTGAGACATTAGCAACAGGGGTTGAACAATTCCTTGGTTCTCAGTCCCTCCAAGAATCACCATTATTGAACTACCCAAATCATGCCACATAAGCCAAACAAATAAACCTCTTTAAACATATATTCATTCTAACAGTTCTGTTCTTATACAGAATCCTGAGTAATACAGTATCTCTAATTCTATGTGTAAAAACTCAATTAAAATTTTCTTTACTCTTATACTTTGGTTGTGAGCCTAGACTTTGATGGCCGAGCCATCTCTCCAACCAGGACTATCCATTGGGAGAAGAATAGAGAAGGAGAGCAAGAAAAGAGATACCTTAATAGAGGGAGTCATTATAGGTTTAAAGAGAAATCTGGCTCTAGGAATGTCCAGGGATCTACAAGGATGACTCCAACTAAGAATCTAAGCAATAGTGAAGAGGCTACCTTAAATGTCCTTCCCCTATAATGAGATTGATGACTACCTTAAATGCCATTATAGAGCCTTCATCTAGTTGCTGATGGAAGCAGAAGCAGAGATTCACAGCCAAGCACTGAGCCAAACTCCTAGAATCCAGTTGTAGAGAGGGAGGAGTAATGAGTAAAGGTGTAAAGAACATGCTGGGGGAACCCACAGAAACAACTGACCTGAGCAAATAGGAGCTCATGAACCCCAGTCTGACTGTTGGGGAACCAGCATAGGACTGAACCAGATCCCCCAGAACTGGGTGTTTAGTTGGGGAGCCTGAGAAGTCTATGAGGTCTCTGGCTGTGAACCAGAATTTATCCCTAATGCACAAATGGGCTTTGGGAGCCCATTCCCCATGGAGGGATACTCTCTCAGACTAGATACATGAGGGAGGTCCTAGGTCCTGTCCCAAATGATGTGACAGATTTTGATGATCCTCCATAGAAGGCCTCATCCTCCCTGGGGAGTGGATAGGAGCTGCAATGGGGGTGTCAGTGGGGGGGCATGGGAGGATGGAAGGGAGAAGGAACTGGGATTGGTATGTAAAATATGATTGTTTTTAATTTAAATAATGATTTTTTTTAAACTTGACAAAAGAGTGCCTAGTAACACTCAGTCCATGAAGGAATAGGCTGTTAAATTCACCTAAAGTGTTCTTATTAATAAAGTATGATTGTGTACATCAAAAAAAATTCTTTACTCTCACTAAAATTTTCTTTAACTTGGGTTACTGATATTGTTCAGTGGGTAGAGGCATTTACTGCTAAGCCTGACAACCTGAGTTCAATCCCAAGGACCCATATTGTGAACTTAGAGAACCATCTCCACAAGGTGTCTTTTAAACTCCCCACCCATACTTTGACATATGTTCCCAGGCAGGCACGCAGGCACATGTACACACACGCACAGAAACAGACAGACAGACACTAAATAAATATGATTAAAAATAAAAATACACTTGTCAATATTTAAACAATCCTGTAACTACTGACTCTTGCTCTGATTTTGTAATTGCAGAAGAAACTATGGTACTAAAACTTTTCAACAATATTTAAGTAGCTAATATCCATATCAAACAATATCCACAACAACACTCATTGTGTTTTGTGACCCATAATCACCCTTCAACTACAAAAGATATATTCATGGAAAGACCACAAGATAACCTTCTGATTGGTTTCAAAATGTAAATTTATCTGAAGGCAAGCAAAAGAAATTTCAGATCCTGGAGATGCTAAAGTATCTGTTAAAACAACCAGCTAGAAAAATGAAAGCAAGTTAAACTACCATGACCTCTGTCCTGCCTATAAGCTCTTCTTGGAAACCTTCCAGTATTCTGACATAATGTTTGTAAAGGGAGAAGACCCAATCTGAACACAGGTAGTACTGTGCCATCAGCTCAGGGCCCAGATTGAATAAAAGTAAAAAGAGAAGAAAGCCCGATGAGCAGAAACCTTTCTCCACTTCCTGTTGGCTTGATGTAGCCAGCCCTGTCAATTGTGCCCCAACTCTGAGTCATCCTGGCTACCATGCCTCCTCCACCATGATGGACTGTGGTCCTCTGTACCACGAGCTGAAATGAACCTCTGCTCACTTTAGTTGCTTTTTATCAAGCACTTAATCAAAGCAAGCAAGAGAAGAGTAATTAACACCGTGCTCTTCCTGATGAAGTCTGCGCATCACTAGCTAAGCTCTGAGCAACACGTTCTGGCTTGGTTTGTGTCTATAATAATTCCCCCCCTTCCTTTTCTATGGCAAAGTCCTTGTGTGGTAAGACAGCCAACATATTTGTGAGTATATCAAAGAATTTTAGGGAAATAGTCTCCAGTTCAAAGACTCTATTTTAGCCATTGTACTTTTTAAAAATAATATTGTACCTTCTAACAAATATATGATATTCAACTAGGGGACACTTACATATTGTGAAGACTTTCCTTATGTATTCCACTACACTGACAGTAAGATGCTGAAACATTTTTAGACTTTTTTGGGGGGGAGCAAGTAAAATATTTTTGAAGTATTTTAGATGTGAAATAAAATCTATTCTCAGTCATATATTTTTATTAACCTGAAAATGGCTCAATCTTATTTTTAAAGACAGTATCACTTGTGAAAAATGACTCAAATGTCACAAATTGTTCTGCTTGTCATTGCAGGCTTGTTGAGAATTGTGTGTGTGTGTGAGTGTGTGTGTGTGTGTGTGTGTGTGTGTGTGTGTGTGCCTGCTTCAGGTCAATACATATATTTGTGTGTAGCCCCTTATAGAACAACACCCGTAGACCCTATGTTTTCTGGGCTAGTTCAAAGAGTGTCTGCTATCACACTACCAGAGGGAAATAGTCAACAAGCGCAACAGGCATTCAGAAACCTTATCATAGAGTCCAATATGCTTTACAGTACAGACATTTGTAAAAAGTTAGGAAAAAACCTTTTAAGAAACAGAACCTTTGTGACAAGAAGTCAACACGCAAGCAAGGCAATAAACATTCTTTTTGAATTACAGAGAAAAAGTGTTGTTGCCAATCTCAGGAGTCCTGGATAAAGGCATGCTCTCTTTGGTCAAGTTATCTGTCTCTACACATAGCTTCATATAATCAAACACTTTGTGCACCTCTCAGATGAGATGAGCTTGTGAAACCCAGAATGTGCTTTCCTCAATCAAAATAGAACTCATGGTAGCCTTCCTAGTTCTGTGACTCATGTTTATAAATATGAGTCCTGGTAGCTCAGATCTCTCTTCTTTCCCAGTACACTCATTATTCCATATTTCCTATCCTCTCTGCCTTGAAAGGAACACAAACTATCAGGAGGAAAATCATTAATGAAGAAATAGGTTTTGACCCTCTGTCTTAGAAGACCTTCATTAAGACAAGCTATCTTTAAAGACAAAAATCTAAAGGAAAACATTAAGCTTTATACAGAGAAAATAAAATTATCTTTGAATTATAACTGGCATTGCCTTACTCTTGAATACCGTCATTGTCTTAGGGAACCCACACTGAACTTGTATACCTAACATCGTTTTAATGATCAGTGCTTATTCCACTAATCTAGGAATGTGAATTAAATGTTTTTTTAATCTGTCTGATCGTAGGGATTGGAAACCCGTTCTTTTACAAGCAGACTCAAAGTACCAAGATTTTTATTTATTTCTATCTTTATCACAAGGTGGCTGGTGGCAGGTTGGCATGAACACAATTGTTTCTATGGATAGCACCATTTCCTTGTGATGCGAAAATTGGACTCTTCCCAAACAGCAGGAATTCACAGATAAAGCATGTGTCCCCTGGGCAAGACGCCAGCAAGCTTGGGTATTGGTATTCTGACGCACAGGGTGCTACTCTCAACTAAGGCACTTGAGCAGTTTCTGAATTGCTTCAAGAACACAAGCTGCACGATAGTAAAGATAATGATGTTTAGCCTGTTTATCAAACAAATCTTTTCCATAGCAACAAAAGAAATTGTCAAGAAAACCTGGTGCTGTCCAACTGCACATTGGACATGGCTCTGTTTCCATCCACTCACCACAAACAATACCCCTAAGAAGCGCATCAGAAAGGACAAAAACATCAAGAGCCATTCTCCCATTCTCTGTAAGTTTGCTATTTCCCTTGTAATACTTGGTATAAAACTTGGGCATCCCTCTGCCTTCATCATCCACTTCACTTCCTTGAGCTCCACACCTGGATAACTGCGACACTCACCCTTGAGCGCTGGACCCTTCCTGTGTCCAAAGTCCCAGCTCTCCACTTCCCCTGCTGCAGGAACACAGTGGCACCTCTCATCCAGTCGGGCTGGGGCAGAGAACCAGGACTGAACCCAACAGTTGCAGAGAGTCTGATTCAGATTTGAGCGCATCCACGTTAAACCCAAGACAAAGGCTGCACTGATTCTTTCTTGGTGCGCGCCCTTCCCTGAGTAACCGGTACTGGCTTTCTCTCTCAAGCCCACCCTATGAGCATTTGAGCCTGGGAAGTCACTGACAGGAATTGCTTTCAGAGGGGTGCGGCCGCGGGTGTAAACAGTGCTTACTTGTAATCCACCAAGGGTCTACTAAGGGAACTACCCCTGCAGCTCCGGGCTGGGGAAGCCTAGCGGGAGAGTCTGGCTCTAGAATCTTGGGTACCCATCTCAACAGGGGAGCAGGACCTCCCTCGCAGAACCCACCTGGGCAAAGGCACCTGCTGCCTGCGCTCCAAGATAGTGTTGTGCCAGGTCTTGAGCTCTGGGGCAGGGACAAACCTCCCAGGACCACAAGCCAAAGAGAGTGTGGACTCTGCCCGCGGTTGATCAAATGGTCTTTGCCATCACTCACCGGGGAGGGTGAAGTAGCTCAGGCGGCCGGCAGGCTGCGCGCAGCCGGCATCCCAGGGCAGTCGCATCCTCCCATCCTTTGTCAGTGACTGGTGGTGCACTCCTCCACAGCTCAAAAACGTGCAGTCGGGTGGCAGGCAGCCCGGCTCTGGCTCCGCTCCCCAGCCCTCTTCCCTCCTCTGAGCCTCCTCCCCTTCTCTGTCCCCCTCCACCAGCGGCACTCACTGGGCTCCCATGATGTCATCCAGTGGAAATCTGCCATGCTCAAAAACTGGAATAATCCAGCGCTCAAGCGGGGAAAGCAGAACAGGCAGAAGATGCAGCAGAGGCTTTCGGAGTTCTCAGAATGTAATGTGGACCCCATTATTTAGCTGGAGTCAAGGACAGGACAGAGCAGGGACTTCATGGGGGGTGGTGCACAGTGCACACAGAGCCTAGAAAACACAGTGTTTGCTGCTCTGAGGATTCTTATGTGAGTATCTAAATTAGCAGCAAAAGAAAAGGGTAAGGGAAAGTTTTGTTGTCGTTTTTGTTGTTGGTGTTCTCCTTTTGACTTCTTAGGAGCCACGTTTCTGTGATGATTCTTGTGCTGCAGGCAAGAGAATGAAGAGAACCTCCAGGAATACAGGAAAGTTCAGTGCGTCTTTTCAGTGCCTGCCTTGGCGATGTGCAGCTAAAATTAAGAGGTGATAAAGGGTAGATGATGTGCGACATGTACACTCTAAAACTGTTGCTCTGGGATTGGAAGCCACCGGAATTCCTAGGTATCTTAGTAATGCTCTCCTCACATACAATACCAAATACTAGGGCTGCCTCCCTGGCTTCACTAAAGGAGGGAAACATCAAGGAGGGAAACAAGTCATAGGACCTTTAATAAAAAGGTATGATGCCAGCTCCTACCTCTAATAGAAGTCCCATTAGAGGAATCGGATCAAATAGCCTTAATACTTTCAAAGTTTCACTAGTACTGATACATATGCACAGCCTACAATCTGAGATCCAGGCTTATATGAGTCTAGAACAACTGTAGTTCAGAAACTCTTGCTTTTAAATACCAAAGTCCCTGGTGCTGGAGACATGCCTAGGGGTTAAGAGCACTTTCTGTTCTCGTGTGTGATCTGGGTACAGATTCCTAGCACCCACAGCAGAAGACTGAGTATCCTCCACAACTACATTTCCCAGGGATCTAATACCCTCTTTTGGCCTCTTCCAGCACCTGAACACACATGATTCTCAAACATGTAATCAGGTCCACACATATACTCATAAAATAAAATGATAACTCCTAACAAAACAAATGCCAGGCCCCAACATTGGCAGGTTTGTGCCTCCAGTAACCTGTTGACTTTCTCAAGATGTCCTGCCACGTCTCATCCCCAGATGAGATTGGGCTACAGCAGCAGTCAGTGTTGACAGTGAAAGTGTTCCTCCAATGCCTGGGCCAGCATCCAGACTCTATTCTGTAGAGCTACACCTGCTGGGGTAGCACTTACTACAAATGTGGGGACAGTTAAAACCTCAGTCTTTTTGTAAAGAGAAAGAGGACTACTCATAGCAGTAACTGTAGCAACAACACTGAAGCCTAGTCACCAGATCAGATAGGCTTGTTCATGCACTAGGGAATAGTGAAATCCAGTAGGGCTTCTTCCAGGGAAAGAGCGTAAATTACCTGTGAAAAGCTAGACTGATGTTGTAGCAATAGCTTAGTGACTGCTCTTGGCAAAGGAACTGGTTCAGTTCCAAGCACTCACAACTACCTGTAACTCCAGCTCCAGGCTACTCAGTGACCACTTCCTACCCTCAGAGGTACTAGGTATTCACATGTATACATATGTACATACATGCAGGCAAAGCACTCATACACACCAAAGAGAAATAATCTCTCAAAAAAAATCAGAACTATTTTAAACAAAATATCCAAAAGATTATGATGCATATAGTTTGGAAATACATAGTAAATCTTAAAGTGCTGTTTTTCACCTAGCCATTTCAAAATTATGTTTTATGTGTAATAGATATCTTTAACATCATTCATATATATTATAGCCATATACATTGAGTATCTTTGCTAATTACCCTACCTTTTAATATATTAATTTTTAGAAATGTCATACATGTATGCAATGTATTTCAGTAATTATCATCCTACTCACCCTTCCCAACTCTCCCTAGATCCTGTGCAACTTCCCAGCTTCATGTCCCTTTGCCAATATTGAACAGTATCTAATTTGTACTATCAATATTCTCAGGGGCAAAGAGCTGGCCAATGGAGCATGGTCAACATACCAGGGACCACACCATAAGACAATTGACTCTTCCTTTCCTAGTAGCCATCAACTGTCAATAACTCCTCAACTAAAGATAGAAATTCATGTGCACTTCTGTTATTCATGTTGGAATGCTAACTGCCTTTGTCTTATCTGTGTTTTGGCAGGTGACCATAGCTGTTATCAGTTCATGACTACATAATCCCGACATGTCCATTAAACACTGTTTCATCCTGGTCATCCCTGATTCCTGGCTCTTAAAATCTTCCCCCTCCCACTGTTCTGTGATATACTCTGCACATTGAGTGAGGGAGTATGTAATATGAATATGTCCCATTTATGACTGAGTTCTCCATAAGCATTTGTTTCTGTGCTTTGACTAGCTGTGAGTCTCTGCATAACCACTACCCACAGAACAAAGACGTTTCTCTAATAAGGACTGAAAGCTTCACTAATGTATGGCATAGGGATTTATAATTAGAACAGTGTGCTATTGTGTCTACTCAGCAAAATACTAGTAGTTGGTTCACTTCTGTGGTTTGTGGTCTCTCCAGCCATTGGCTCTTGACCAGGTTTACAGCACCAGTCATGCATTTATGCCTAAGAAGTGGGTTGAAATCTAATCAGAAAGCTGTTAGTTACTCCCATAATATGCGTGCCACTATTTTGCCCATGGGCGTGTTTCGCAATGCAGATCATTATATAGCTCATACAGTTCACAGCTAGATAAGTCTTGCAATTGACTCTCCTCACTCAGCAGCCTGTGCCACCTTTTGGTTCTATGAAAGTTACTCAGTGGGAAATAAGATATCAAGTCAGTATCAGCTTGATTTCCTCAAGTCCTGTGATCAAAGTACAAGATTTCTTTATCAATAGGGTCTCACCATCATGTTCTTGTCGGCAACCAAGAGCGATGGCAAGGGCCTATGTTGTTTTGAGGGTCTCTAGATCCTTCTGACCAAAAACTTTCAGGGAAAGGATCCGAAACCTGGTACAGAGCTTTTTGCCAGCCATATCTTTCAATGTTTTAAGATATTAATTTATTAGTAAAATTATTAATATTTTAAAAGAATTAAAAATTTAAGATATTAATTTATTATTAGTACCTCCTAAGTACAAAACACCATATAAAATTCATGAACAGTTTCTAGAAATGATTATTTTTAAATATCAAAATAGTGAAGATCATTTTTAAAAATCATGGCAAATGTAAAATAAACTACTGAAAACACTGACGATTAAGAATTTGGGGATGTAAACAATGGCAGTCTTTGAGATGGGAAAGAATTTCAGCTGCTTTATAAAATTAATTGGAACTGTTAATGTTAAGTACATTTTAGAAAGTCAAGTTACAAAGCCTGCCTCTTGGATTGGTTCTTTGATGCCCCATCTGTTTTCATTGTTTCTCTTTGTCTTCTATTCCTAAGTTTCATTGGAACTAGTGCACGAGTATGGAGACCAAACTAGATCTGGAGACATTAGTAACATACAGACAAAAAATTCATTCTTAGGCCTGCGCAAAAATAAACAAATAGCATTGCTATAGGGACTGAAGAAATATCTCAACAGTTATGAGCACTGGGTGCTCTTCCAGAGAACCCCACTCCAATTGCCCGCACCCATGTGATAGCCCATAACCATCTGTAACTTCAGTCCCAGGGGATCCAACAACCTCTTCTGCTTCCGCTGACACTACTGCATGCTACATAGATATACAAGCAGGCAAGAGATCAATGCACATAAAATGAAATAAATATGAGAAATAAATTACTGCTTTTAAAAATAACAAAGAAAAACTGTCACCAGTGCTGGTCTAGACTCGGTATCTCAGGTTCTGGAGCTCTCCTTCAAGCAACTGAAATAAAGGCACAGATTTGCGAGAGTAACAAGGGAATTTCTATCATGGCAAAAGAATAGTAAGAACTTGCTAGAAAGAAATGTATTAGATAAAGGGCCCTAATCATTGTTTAGGGCTTTCTTTTCTGGAGCTCGTGAAAAACAGGAGTTTGGTTCCTAAGGGCTGTAATGTCAATAATTCTCCATTTTTATTACAAATTAATTGTGTAATCATTCATCTACTACACGAGTCGCTTCCTACAAAGCATCTAATTTTAAGTATATACACACAAGTTACTCCTAGGCATAAGATGATAAATAGTGGGTTCTTCTTTAAAAACCACTTAAAGGACAGTCTGCCTTATCATGCATAAACCTCAACCAGTTTAGGTTGGAACAGTTCTGCCATCCTCTATCTGAATATACTGGAGACATATTAAATACAATCTGTCTTTGATGATCATTAGAGATGAGAAACACATTCAGAGTGTGCTGTGTGTGGGTAAATTAAGTGGGGTCCTAAGTTACTAGTATGTTTCTATTTGAATTGCTTTGAGAATGATGTGTATGCCTATTACATACAGGCAACAGTCTTAGGCTGTTAAAAGAGAGGTACTGGTATAGGCCAAAAAGCAACTCAGTTGCTATTCAAGTCTCTGTGCTTGTCTGACTCAAAGATTTTTAGACAGGACCTCTGGCACAGGCCTGTAATCTCAGCTCTGCAGGATAGGAAAGAGGAAATTAGCCAAGTTCAAGGTAGAGTTCAAGGCTAACCTCCAGCAATTTAACAAGATCCTGTCTCAAAGTAAAGGCCATAAGATGTACATCATTGGTAGAATGTTTGCTTAACACACACACAAGGCCTCAGGGAATATAAAATACACAAGTGTTGGGGTGGGGTTTTTCTTTTTGAAACAGAATCTCACTGTGTAGTCCATCCTAGACTAGAACTGATTCATCATCCTTATCAATATGCTGGAGTTACAGGAGTACACTGCCATGCTCACACCTAGCCTATATGACTCACTTTAAGGACAATGAAATGTAGTCGTGTGTGTGT